GGGTCACCACTGAAATTCTCAATCCAGGAGTGAAGCTCAGCCACATGGCTCTGAGGAAGGGTCCAGGAAACAGCCACCTTCATCCCATGCAAGTGTGGTCTCCCCGTATCCACAGAGCAGCTACAGCGTCAGCAGGAGGAAGACTTGTAACTGTCTTACCTTTCTAGAGAAAGCAAGTAGAGATGTCTGATCTGCCTCCTCTGCCTGCTTGGTTTCTCCACATACTCTGTTGCTGTTGTCTTATTCATCTCCTGCCTGAGAAAGGCAGACCCAATCTCACTCCTTCCATGTGGGAATGCGTTCAGCTTTCTGGGCTCGTTCGCTTTTTAGAGGATCTTTTCCCCACCAATTTAACCAATTACTTTCTGAACACAGTATTTATAATTTGGCCACAAACATCTCACAACAGTGAGTCAGCGTTAGAACTATGCACACTTGGGGATAAAAGGTACCTCTTGCTTATTTGCAGATGTTGGATAATTTCAATTGGTGCCACCTAGTGGAGAAACAGTGGATGGCAACCGTCTTCATCCTTTCCCAGGAGATGTGATATTCTGCCATAAAAAGAATTTAAAAGACTCTGTAGTGCTCATCTCCGAGCATCTTTCCTGCCTCTTGCACATTTTCCAGTTTCACTATCTCCTGTCTGGAAAAGACAAGAACTGCACTGGTGTTCACTCAGCAAACCAGGCAGAAGGAACTTAGTCCCAGCCTTCCAAAGCAACCTTCTGCATGGGTTCAACCTACAGATCTGCTGTGAGGCAGAAAGGGTAGAGGCTAAATTTTCCATCATCGTGGTACCTATCTGGTTTCATCTCTTCTCAGTCACTGAGTTCCTTCAAGGTAGCTGAGAACTGGAACAAGCATCAAACTCACCCTGTGGATTTTCAAGCCACACAGATTTACAGAATAGTGCTTTAAGAACAGTTTATTTTATGGGCACATGCTTAACTGTAGGAAAGGCTATTTTCTTCATTTTAACAACATACAACTGGTAAGTATTGTGGGCTCACTTCAAGGCAGCCCTGGGCTGGGGCTCTGGCACCAATGTCTGAAAAACAGCCCCACACCTTTCCCAGTGAAAGGTACTCTTGGCTTTAATGGCTGCAAACATGCTGTGATCCTCCTTTGTAGGGGAAAACTGTGTATTTAGGGACCATCAGATTTCCTTTCCCTTTTAAAAGCAACAGCAGCATGACGCTTTCGAGTATGGACACTGCATGGACACCAAACAGCAGAAAATCTTACGAACCGGCAGGGTATCTTCTAATGCTCCTCCAGTTTTGTATCAAGATCAGTAGGTTCATGGCTGAGCCACCCAGTCCCCAGTGCACCACAGGTTTCTCCTTTCCCTTACCAGAGCAATCCTATGGATATACTGAATTTTACAGTATTGTTTGGCCACAGTGAACAGACAAACTGAAAACAGCCCCCATGGGCTCCCTCCCACCTTTGTATATCCTTCAGGTCTTTTACTGGGAATTATACAGCATTTGACTGTCAGGACTGTGTAAACAGTTTAACCCCCTGCAGAATATTGTCAGGCTTTGCATTAAATAAACCGATATGAGCATTGCCAGGGCTTTTGTTTCTCAGTAATGTCTTTTATTAATCTTTGCAGGGGCTGGAAGCATCTTACCTGAATCTGTCTGCTAGCAGCTAGAGGACTGTTGTGGTGAGCAGAACCTGGAAACGAAGGGTGGTGTGTGGGAAACACACTGTTCACCTGCCAGGGCCACTTGGTCATCCTGCTGGAGATCTGCAAGTTTATGAAGTAGAAAATGGTTTAATTATGAGAGTTAAAGATATATAGATGTTACAGTCAAAAAAGGAGGAGAAAAAATGTTCCCACTCCTGAGCAATGTATCCCTTTATTTTTCCTTTTATTTTTATTCTTTTTTGTAAGGAGGTGTTTCCCAGTTTAGATTTATTTGGGGGAGTTTTGGATGCATCAGGATTTGTGTCCACAAAATCTGTCAGATCATCAGTAGGACACTGTAGGGTGCCCAATAGCCAGATAGCTGGAACAGAAAAGAGAGTACTCCAGCATATGATGAATTCATGGAAGAAGCCAGAAAGGAAAGCAATCTTTTGATCAAAAAGATAAATGCCATGTTGGTTTGGGGTCTACTGCAACTGTAATTAGCATTTTCTGGCCATAGCAACTCCAGGCTTACGAAGGAGTTACTGTGCCTCAAAGAGATTATCGATAAAGACAGCACATCTGAAAATAACATGCTTTCCATTGACTCTCATCCAGCTTAAATATTTGCTGCTGAGTCAGCTGAACAGAAGAGCAGTCAGACGGTTGCCCTCGTGTCCCTCCAGCACCTCTGTATCCTCAGCCGGCTTCTTGCTTTGGTGTCACTGCAAGGAGAAAACCAGATGCCAGTGAGGTGGTCCAGCCCAGCAGCTGCCACTCAGCAGTGAAAGACCAGACATAGCAATACTTGTCTGGGGTCGTCACTTAACTATCCTTAACTCACTGGCCCAAATCCTGAAGGGCTGTTCTACTGATGATACTGTCTATGGTTTGGCGTCCCCTGCCACCTGACCTGGTTGTAGCCCATGCCCATAGTAACCTAAACACCTAACGTCCCTCTCTCCTAGCCCAATTTGTCTGTTGTCTGGAAGAGCTGTAGCTCTGCCGATGCCTAGATAAGCTCTCCAGAGAGTCCAGCCTACCCAGTCCTTATTTCAGCATTGCCTAACTCAGCTGTTGCCTGGCCATCACAAACAGAAAGCTAAGCACAGCCTAGCCTCGTTTTGTTGCAACAGTGGATGCTTCCTTACGCTACCTGCAGACTTCCTTAACCTGGTTTTGCCTAGCCAAAAGCCTCCTGCACCTTCGCCAGAGGCCACGCTAAGCCCACACACTGTCCCCTCTGGCCTTCTTGCTCCCTAGACCTGCTCCACCCGAGCCCTTGTCATATGCTCAGCTACTCAAATCCATGCCCCGAATGTTGTTATTTCCTGGCTAACCTCACTGCAGCAAAGCCAAGCTACGGGGACACCATCACCTTGGATGCAGTCTGCCTCGCACTTTGCAGCCAGCACTACCCAAGCAAGAGCACTTCTCTCATTTCTGTGCAGCATGGCCAAGCTCACTTGTGGCTACCAGCAGGTTTAAAGGGCCTTGACCGTGTCTGACAACTTGAGGCATTTACAGATTAGCAGACCACACGGTGAAATAGTTCAGTGCTTATTTTATTCCCAGGGAGAGAAATATGCCCAAATGCATCTCTCCAAAACTAGAGGATAGAACAAATACCTTGTTGGTACACATCAGAATTACAGACAAGAACACACGACGCAGACTGCTGGAGAAAACATACATGCAGAAGAGAACTGCTGACTTGAACCCAAGATGAGACTTGAGGGGTAGCATGGCATACAAAATCAGATCTCAGGAAGTCCCTTAGGCCCAGGGTGACAACTCAAGTCTGCAAGCCCTTGTCCAGTGCTCTGGACTGGACACCAGCCATTCTGTGGCCTGAGATGTTAGAATGGCCTTAAAAAAACCCAAAAAAAGCAGAATGATTTTAAGCCTCCTTTCCACAGTACTGACGGCTGGTCTGAAACACAGCACCAGGGAAACCACAGATGATCCTTCCCAGGCAGAAGAAAACACCAGGATTTCTCAGACCTGTAGATGCAGGTTGACTCTGGGTGTTGCAACCTGACATATTTATACAGACTTTTGCTTTTCAGACAGAGAACAGCTCACTAAGTATTGCTTAAAGAGTAGGATATTCTGAATCTAAACCTGTCTTGAAAGAGCTGAATTTACCTAGATGAGTGCAGTCCTTCAGGAAGCTTGCATTAAATTTCCCACTGTCATTAGTGGACCATTAGTTGAGGCCCATTATGAGATGGGGAACAGGAAGAGAAGAGCACCTCAGCAGTCAATGACTGAGCAGTCAAAAAGCAATGAACACTTCCAGCCTTTCACAGTAAGTGCAGACTGCAAAACTGGGAGGTTAGCTCAGCATAATTCATGCCAATCCCACAGCAGTGCCTATCTCACAGCTGGTCAGACTAGTTTTTAAAATGCAAATGTAAGTCATGCTTTTCACCAACCTCATGAGGGGGCACACCTTCGCTACTCCACAGGCGTATTTCACTGAGAAGGTGTGAGGAATATCCCTTCGAAACTGCAAGGGAAATTCTCCTTTCACTTACATGAGTCTCGCCCAGAACAGCGGGCTTATGGACTTTTACTTATTTGTAAAATCAAACTTGAACTGTCTCAAAGGCCAGCAGCAGGTAGGCCTCATCTAAGAAGCCTGGCAGGTGCCCTGGCTGTCCAGGGACAATGTGAAATTTTATTTGTTCAAAATAGCTTTTTTTGTGTTCAAAACACAAGAACAATTTTGCTAGAAATCAGTTTCTTTTCTTTCCCCACAAATACTTAGGTTTTGTTTTGGGCTTGAGGGAAGTGGAAGAGATTTGGCAGAAAATAAAAAAAAATAATTAATGGGAACACATTTCACATTTTCATCATTAACAGAAACAGCCGAACAGTCCCCAGTGCACCACAGGCCTTCATCACACAACTGCACCTTCACTTTCCCATCGAGCACTGGAGCACAAACAAACTCAAATGTTCACACCAAGTGTTTCCAGCCGCACACTTTCAGGAATAAGTTATAAATAAATATACATAACATGAGTATTAATTCATTGAAGGCTACTTTAGCCACTACTCAACTGACAAACACTTCAGTCTCTGAATTTTTCCATGTTTCTGAAATCTAAAACTCAAGACCAAGAAGTGGAAGTACAGAAAAAGTTCATAACCACTCTCTAAAGTGCCTGGGATTGGCAGAAGTGCCATGTGAATACAGACCCAAGTAAGCTCAGTAGTCTGTGCATACATAAATTGACATCCAGCTCCTCGGGAAGCCACGGACCCGTGAGGTGGGAGCAGCCCCAAGACGTTATCACTCCGGGTATGTAGAGAGGGACCCCATACGAAACCCAGTTCTTTCTGCCAGGTGCTACATCATAGCTATGGCAGAGTCCTCAGTGCTGCTCTCTTGCTCCAAGCCCACTCGGCGGATGGACTCTCTGTATTTTTGCCGTCCCAGCTCAATGATGGTTTCGACTTCATCAGCAATGTCCTGGCGGCCACTCTCCTTCATGGCTGTAATCAATTTGCTCACACAGTCAGGATCTTCTGAGTTTTGCTGAGCCCATGAGAAAAGCATGTCCAGGATCTGCTTATCAAGGTCCTCTCTGAAGAAAGGAGGAAGTACAGAAGTAATCAACACACTCTCCTGCCAGGCAACCCAAAGAGGCTTTACCTGAGTCCTAGCCCATGACTGGAACTCCAAAGAAGCCATCCAGACGCACAAAGCTCTCAGTGGGTCTGCCTTTTTCCCACCCACCATATGGGAGTTGCAGTTCCTACATTAAAACACCTCTAGGAATTTTTTTCCTAATGGAAGTATCAAAGGAAAGTATTCTGCTTTTGAATGTAAATTCCTCACAGGAAGAGTTTAGTCTCATTCCCTTCTACTGCTCTGCTTTTGGTCAGACTGCATGTCCCATGATGTACCACAAGTTCTTTTTGAATAAAGATGATATTCACAATTAATGCCATAAACCACTGCTCATTGTTCAGAGATGGAGTCTGGCCAGGAATCCAGATCACAGAACAAAACAGGAATGTGACTCATCTGAACTACAAAGCTCATCAGGTTTGCTATTTCCCAATTTTGTTCTTCAAACACAAAGCTTTGTTTTATAAAGGCAAGAGAAAATATTCAGTTTTCCATAAAAAGGTAATGTTTTGAGAAGAACCATTGCTCAACCCATCTTTTATCCAGTGAAACAATTCCACTGGGTAAACTTTCAACCAGCATTAATTTATACTATTAAACTGCAGATAGATGCATAGATGGATGGATGGATGGATGGATAGATACACAGATAGATAGACAGACAGACAGACAGATAGATAGATATCATGCATCACGGCTGATCGCTGTGTCCTGTCTTACCTGTTATTGTATCCTATGCGCTCAATCTGCTGATACGTCAAGCCCAGGTTCAGGCCGATGGTCTGCCAGTCAGCTCCCACACGCCTGGCAATGCCCAGCAGGTTTGCCTGTGTCAGGTAGCCTGTCTCAGCATTGCCCAGGTTCAAGGGAGGGAAGAAGCAGCCATTCAGGAGACCACGGCTCTCACCCCAGCGGGATTTCAATCGCTGTGTCCCAGAGAAGAGAGAGAGAGAGAACATGTCAAACAAATTTGTTTTATAGAGAACAGTGTCTGGCCATTCAGTCTCCACACTGCAATTTCCTTCCTCTGACCAGGGAGGAAGGAAGATCTTGAGGCTGAAGAGTCAGGCTGTAAGAAGCAAGGAGCAGTCACACTGGCAATGACCATCAATGCTCACTGCCTTTGAAAAATACCGAATCAGAGTGTTCACAATCATAGCTCACACTGGAAACTTCCTTCTTGCCTTTACAGAGCATTTTTCAATGAACCATTGCCCCAAAGCGTATTTATCTCAGTGGTAAGAGAGCACTTAGTCTAGATTTGTAGTTGAGGTTGCAGGTGCTGGAAAGCAATGGCACATGATCTGAAGGGAAGCATTTAACCTACAAAGGCATTTACTGTTGTAAGCGTCTCAAAGATCAGTTAAATTCCATAAAGAAAAGTTGCACTTCTCAGTGTAACATAAAGCCCAGCCTTTAAAGGCCAGTGGCTCACACCAGAATACCTAATGCCTGTATTCAAAACCAGCCCACCTCTCTTATCCTAGACCTTTCTTTTTTTCTGCTGCATGAGCTGTGTGACTAACAAATTTATAAACAAAACAGACACTTCTCTTAATTACCACAGACTTCCTCCCGTTCTACATCCCTCATGCATTCAAAGGATCCACCCTCTCTAGCCACCCATCCAACAAGCCTGTGCTTGACAGGCAAGATGAACAGGAGAGATGGAGGCCACTCCCAGCCATTCACGTTTCTCTTTTCAGAAGAGCTCGTGGGAAGTGGGAAACCTCCACCACTACATAGTTGGGCAGCTGTTTCTTCCAGTCATTCATGGCATCCACTCTCATGGAGGAAGACAAAATTAGCTGAGCAGGAAGGCCATGCTCTTAGCCCATCTAGATTAGTTTTTCTGTAGGGGATAACTCACAGGCAGTTTGATAGGCAGAGTGGCAAGCCAGAGGGAGTCTGGTCCTTTCCTTCTCCTGCTGGCATCTTCAGGGATGCTCTCTGGAACTGCCCCTCGGTAGAAAGAGACCTTTGCAAACAGAAAGCATGCAGTGAGGCTCAGATTCAAGCACAGTGGCCAAGCCTGTTTACACCATGTTTTTTCTGTCTGGGAAAGAATGAATTGAGCATTTCTCATCTATCCTCAGTCCATAAATATGGCCTCTCAATTAAGTGCGACTGGGAGGAGCACTGAGGTTCTGCCATAAAGGCTGGACTCACTGCTAACACCCCATGAGTTAATGGCAGGAATGTAAGGTAGAGAGCTAAGTGATGAGTGATCCTTCTAGACTACATTTCTTGTTTATTCAGGCTTT